AGCTCTGGCATATCGGTGCTTGGAGATTTCCCACGCACGCTCATAATAGGACGGTTCGTTTTCAATGTCACCTAGGATACAGAAGAGTCGGGGAGCGTTGGGTGGAGGAGGATCGCGCTCAGGGCCAGAGAAATCTGCGGCCTTGAGAAGTGTGACATCCTCACCTATATCCTCATCATCAGGGTCTGAAGGTGATGCTTTGTCACCAGTGCGGTGGAACAGCCTCCAGCGAAGAATTCCCTTGGCCTTCGCCTCACCACCACTGCCACGACCATCTTCATCCTCTGACGCAGCGGCGCTGGCAAGGCAGAGTGCAACTTCAGCCCATAATCGGAGGCGCTTGAAAATTTCGAGAGCAGAAGCTAAAGAGCCGATACCGGCCCAGGCGTAGGCCAATTCAGACTCTAGATGCCATCGTGGAGGTGAGCAGATAGCGTGAATGTACTCAAGACGTACCTGAGCTGGTGCAGACTCAGAGGCCTTAGGCGCAGGCAGGAAAGATGTTGGCTTGGGCTGAACAGGCGCAGAAACTTCGTCAGGGCTAATGATTTGGATAGCTGGAGCGCCTGTCTCCGAGTTTTGCTCCTTTGCCTCGGCTTTTTGTTGGGCTTCGGCTGTGGTATCAGTGAGTACTTGGTCTGCCACAGCCTGAAGCTGAAGAACACCTCGCTCAACCGTTCGGCTGCGGTGGACCTCGATTCTGGATCGGACCAGCAATGCCTGAGTGTATATTTGCCAGTTCGTAGACTTGTCTCCGATGACTCTCACTGCGTAGGGAAGCACCTCTGCCGAAGTGAGGGTATCAATAGGCGAGAAAGCATCCTTCAACGTAGCCTCAGTGAGGAGAATGATCTGGTCGAGAGGCGAGAGTTGAGGCTGGTCGTCAGGTGAGAGATCAGCCAGGGCAGCGGGAAGGGAGGCCCTCTTATCGTTTCCGTTCGTTTCTCTGGTAAACTGAATTTCCTCGTGTAGAGTGTCATCATTAAGCTGAAGAGCATCCGGCTTGGCTTCCTCTTCAGCATCGTCCACTCGCTGCTCAGAACCGCTCTTGGCCAAAACGACAAGCTGGCTGATGCTGTTCTCTTGGAACTTGGTTCTTTTTCCAAGGGCACCTGAGAGTGCATACTCTAGGCCGCTTGTTTGTGAGGCCTCCTTGATAGCTTCCTTGGCCTTGTCGTCGCGACCGAGTAGAATGTAGTTGTTGGCCGCTTCGACGAGGAACTGCACTTTATCATCGCGACTCCAGCCATCATCACCTGATGCCCAGACCTCCTCTCCGAGGATCTTGGACCTCACATTGTCGATTCCGTCCAGAATCTGGGAAGCCAACGTTGGCACGTCGCTCCACTGGGAGCTTCGAGCAAAGTTGGATCCATGTCCAAGAGTGGGCTGGGTCAGGAGCTTGTAGTGCCAGATGTTAACTCGAAGCTGTGTCCAAGCAACACTGCTCTTGATTGGCTTTTCCTCAGAAGGTATTTCCACTACGTCATTGGCGACTTGACATAGCTCCTGCGTGATGATGTATTTTGCTAGGGCGAAGAGTTCCAGGTGAGGGATGTAGGCATATGGTGAGACGCCGTCAACCTCAAGATAGCTGAGGCAAGCCTTGTGGAGATGAGCGTGGCTCTTTTTTGCATCATCCGACTGCTGGCTAGCCCATGCCTTGGTAAAAAGAGTGCTTAGAGCCGCTGACTCCGGAAGAACAGGACCAGTGACGTTGACTTGAAGGAAGGCGTTCAAGGCAGCAAGACCAACGGCCAGAGCTTGGGGAATATCTGTGTCTGTAGCAGGTTGAATCTTGACATCAGGTCCGGATGTCAACCGAGTAATGAGAGCTTGTATCAGAGCCCCGGCCACCGGAGCTGGGTCCGATACGGAGCCGGAGGTAGAGTTCGGGGCGGGTTGTGACTCGGCACCGGGGCCCTTCGAGAGAATGATAGAGGCATAACGCCCACTGCGCAAAGCGCTACCGCATTCGCCCAAACTGCCCATAGCTATATGTGTAGGGAGTTATTCTCAAGACAATATTTTATTTTGCCTTAGTTGACCAAAAACCGACGCCAGTTGGGTGTCAACGTTATGGCGTTGAAAAGGCAGGGTTAGGTCTTGGCCCCAGCCTCGCACTGCACTGCACTGATGATCTCTCTGCTCTTCTGATATGTGGAATAGGCGAGAATAAAAGTGCAGCAACTCTGAGAGTGTACATAGACCGTAGGAGATGTTCTGGACTTATTCCTCCGTTGGTATAATTTTTGGTGAATGGTGATAGAGTTGTGCCTGGTGTTTACTAATACAGCCAGTCATGGGCTTCTATTGACTTCGCCGTTTAGTTTTTTTTTTTTCTCACTTCTCCGCACCGCTCGCTGCCCCTCATCGGCCGGCCACCGAGAACGACGGAGTTTTCCCCCCACCAAAGAGTCTCCGTCCCGGCCGAACTGTTAACGGCCCCTAATCGAAATGATCCTCTATGGCTGCATCTTTGACAGGTATATACATAGTAGTATGGGTCTGATTGACAGTATGCTATATTTAATAGCAGTTCTATATTTTGTAGTGATCGACGTGTAGCTTTTTTATATTATGCCAAAAATAAGCATAGATATATAGATATATCGATTTGCTCCCAAGACTGAACTGAGCCCTGGAGAAACTCAGGCCAAGAAGGCTCGTCTGTCTTGGGATTTCAAGAATTTGGAGAACAACGCTTCTCTTCGCCTAAGCTAAATCTCTTCGTAAAAAGCTTACGTATCGTGTGGTGGTGGCACATATAGCCTTGGTCTTTAAGGATGGATGGCACGGCTATCGAAAGATTGGCAGCTTGGCTCAAACATGCCATGACCTCCGAGTTCTAGAAATGACTTCTTTCCTTGGCCTGTCTCATCTGGCATCATCATGTTCAACAAATGAAGAAATTTCACTCAACGGCTCAATCGAACCGATGGAGAGCGTCAAGAACCGATACGATGTTTTCTGATGTTGTGGATACCCTCATCAACCGTCGTCAGACGTGCTCAGTAGCTTCAACTGGCTTACCAGGTTTACGGTCGAATCACGTCTTATACAGCCAAGCGTCTTCTCGTTTTGCTACATACGTTTAATAAGGAACGTCAGGGTCCGTTGCAGCCGACAGGGCTCCTTGTCCGTTTCCATCAGCCATTCCCACTTTTCAGTCCCTGATCTAGACCCTATCAATGCAATTAGACCGCAACTAGACAGAGTTGGGGAAAGCCACGCGCCTCCCTCCAAGACGTTTAGAACGGGGGTCTGTTAGTAAAAAACCGTACCAATCGAAACTAAAGAACGCAACTGTGTACGGAAACCGTCCAGCGTCAAACAAGGTTCGACAAGTCCTCTGGATATTCATCAGTCTCCACTACCAGTACGGTCAAAGTGGGTGCAGACTTGTCTCTGCGTCGCATAGCGCGAGGTTCGGCGTAATACCGAAGCCTATGAGAGGCCTTTTGTTTTGTCTTGCGCCTCTCAAGATTTGGAGAAAAAGCTTATTGCTTCCTCAAACTGGAGAGATTTGCGTTTCTATCACCGCCACTGTGGTTATGCGCCTGACGTACAACGGTTCAGCCATGATTGAAGAAGCCGCAAATGCATCAGCAACTCGTGATTGGTGTTCAAGCGTGAGTCTGACTGTGGCATTCTGTCAGGGCATCCAAACAACGCACTTTGTACGGCGGGCAACAAGCGGCCAAGTCCGTGTATGCCAAGGCAGCCAAAAACCACCGCCAGTTGTAATTCGATGCCAAGAATTAACAGACACAGCCTTCCACCAACTCTGAGATGCAGCCAGGCGATGGAATCAAGCAGTGGAGACTGGCGTAAATCCTAGCCGGTACATTGAGCTATTGAACGTGTGAGACGGTTCATTGGACGCTTGTAAGACAAACGCACTGGACTTATTCCGTAAACGATGGCAACGATCGTGATGGACCTAGTCAACGTAAACCGGGCGTACTGCGCTGCAGGGCGAGAGCTGTGCGACAAACTTCATAGTATAGTCTCAGTGAGTGAGAAATTGGCGCCAGGCGCGCCAGACGCAGTTCACGGAAATGCATATGTTGCATGTCTCGGCCCGTAAAACCAGCCTATACTGTCAGGCCCGAGTAGTGAAGAACAAGGGTCCGGCCCGGTGCAAGGGTTATGAAGAAATCGCCCATCTCACCTTCAGCTCAGCTGAGGGTACAGAACACCCAGGACAATACGTTCTTCAACTGCACTATGACCTCTTCCCCACGCGGCAGGGGCGACGTTGGGTTCAGCATGCTGCAGGTTCTATCATCATAATGTTGCAGCGCAGCTATACGTGTTTCCCCTTGTTCCGAAGGAGATTTGGGGATACCTAGATTCTAATACACGGCCTGACGGTAAAAGCGTGAAAGAATTGGCTGGGCTCAAAACCAGACTGGGCAAGATATTCGCTGGAGCATAGCCAAGTGCGCTCCCGCCCAGACAAGCTTTCTCTGTTTTTTTTAAGTCGATGTGTATCCTCGAGTATTGCTTGTCAAAGACTCATGTAGCTGGGCCATTTGCCTCGACAACAAAGAAAGTTGGCTACATGGAAGGTGGTGAGACAACTGCTTTGAGTTACCTGGGGTTACATCTCAATGTCCAGGCGCTCTTGGCTGCGTCGCTCATTCCGCTCCTCAACGCAGGTTTAATGATCGACACGTGACCGGTGAACCTCTCTCAAGTATCCGATATCAACATGAGACACCCAACGTTGACGTGTTTAACGTGTGCTACAGCCGCCAAGTTTGTGGCGTTGGGGTCAAGCTGATGGTGGGAGGAGAGTTGGTGTGAGAGCGGCGAAATGAGACGTCGTTGAAAGTAAGTTTTTATGTAATGATCACCCGTGACTCCAGTTTCTTCAAGACCATCGTAACTACGGCCGTAGTGAAGGGATGAAATGAAGTGTCAGAAAGAATTGCCGTGTTTGAGGGCCATGAGGGGATGCTAAAACCCCAGATTCCACGCAACTGGGACTCGTTTTAGGGTAGTTTGCTGATCTCGGATGCACGAGCGACTCCATCGTTGATCTGGGGTCCAATAGATGTTGATGCCCTCTTCTGTCGATCAAATTCTGTGTCTGAAAGATTGATGACATGAGGAAAGCAAAGCGAGCCCGGTACTGAGTGTCGACTAAGGTAGCCTGTCTGGCTGTTCTGTCTGTTAGTTACAGTGGTGACCTTCAACCACTGGACTCTACCTACCCATAGCGAAGTCTGTGAAGTAAGGTGTGGATGACTCGCTAGCAACGGCTGTGGCCCAATTCGGCAGGTGTAATCGACCTTCATTCAGCCTGGCCATGATGACGTCAGAGACTGCTACGGACATTATTCCCTGCTTGAAGTAGCACGTGAGCAAGACGACAGTCCCTTCAACAACAAGAATTATCACAAAATCATATCAGGGCTTGCGGATTTATGCAAGAAAATCATATCTGAACTCTCCCGAAACTCTACATGTCCTTTCGGTCCGTGTTGCGAGAAAATTGCGCAGTTGTTGACTTGGCTACCAATTTCCACGCATCAATATGTCTCTGCTCGGTCTGGTTGGCCATGAACTAACGGGGAGCTTATCTTTAGAGGAGACTTTATAGGGCACTGGCCACTGTAAGATAGCTCCATCCATCCGCTTCAGTGGAGGTCACCCACTGAGGCGAGTTGTTGGAGAAGCTCCACACTGCTTTTTCAGTGGAGGCCTACCCCTCTGGCGGAATTGGCTCCAGCTAGAGCCTCCAGATCCCCGACTTCCGTGGAGTCTCCGAATGGGTTCAAGACATTTGATATGATTCAAAAACCGGGCAATTCTCGGATTGCCCAGACAAAGGCCCCTTTCCAAGAGCAACACTAAAGACGCCGAGTAGGCACAGGCACCAGCAATTATAAAGGACGGCTTACTTCTAGTGATCAGCATATCCCAAGACCTTGGGTCCAACGTCAATCGGCAAAAAAGCACCCTTATCAGCAGTGGTCCACAGTCGGGGAAGCATCCTGACAAGGATGCATGGATGCGTCCAATGTACGAGGCAAATGCGAGTGGAGAGAGAGATATCTCTGATGGGGAAGATCCCACCCCTCTCCATGGGGGTGGAGAAGCGCCAAGTACCATGGCCAAGAGCAGTACATACAGGCCAAGGAAATATCCAAAGACGCAAAATGACCCGACAAGCTCTCTCGAGTCTAACCGCACAAAGTTTGGACCATCAGACCAGGCTCTGACCAACATCGTCATGAAATATATCACCTTTTGCCCTGGATTGCATGTTTGGAAGTGGAACTGTACTCGGATGAACCAAGGAACATGTCCAGCAGGATGACTGAGAATGAAGGGAGGGCAGTGCTTCTATGCCATGGTAGCACCAAGTGGAGAGAGCTGAAACGTCCTTGAATTAGTTGTCTCTGCGGAAAGACGAGAGTGAGAGAGGGTGAGCCCTCAACGAGATGTACGGAACACCAGAGCCTCGTGGCTCCCTAAATGGGCAAAAGACGTATATATGAACCATTCCTTTGGGTCCTACCAACGCACATATGGTCAGCAGAGGGGACGCCGAATACGACACATCGCGCAGCCTGATCCATACCATGTCGAGTCTGTTGCCGCGTCGAAAATCAGTATGCATCCTGCTCTGAGAAAACTGCGCAGTACAAACAATTCAGCGCAGTTTCTCTAAGGTAAAAGCAACAAAAATCGAAACTACACTCTGGCATTGAGCCAGGATTGGTTGGTTGACTCGACCGGGCGTGAAGTAGGAATAACCCATGTCATCAACTTTGTTACATCCAACCGAGGTACTTAATATGCCTCACGCAAGGGTGCAAATACTTGGAACTGAGGTAGCCCGAAGCAGTTGGCCTCGAGAAATGGGCTTGGCTTTGTTTCTCCACTCCTCCTTCAGCTAATCCTGGTTCGGACTGGCCGCCATCATCCCGCTGCAGTCAATACATACAGTGACTGTGACTGCGGCTTGGCCTCCAACAGTTCGACTCGAGTTCAGCGGAAAGCCCCAGGGTTTACCTGCATTGTACCTAAGGTACTCCTAGGCTATTCCCTGCCTTGAAAGCAGTAAGAGGAGGGCAAGGGACGATGGGTTGGGGTCGATCGTAGCTCTCCCCCCCATGTCAGATTTTACTTATTAACTTCAACGCCCGCTCCTCCAAGATACAACTTTCTTCTTCCCTCTCACCTCGTGTTTTGTCACTTTCAACGCTTTTCTATACCTGTGTCTCACACGGTATATTCAATTCACCTTCGTCTGCTTGCTTCATTGCTTCGCAGACTCTTGCTCGATTGAGCTTTCCTTCCTTCGACCCTGTTCGCAAGAATATATCGATAGACCGAAACCAACCCCGCCTGCAAAGGTGACATCCTTCAAGATGGCTTCCGACGAGGAGAAGAACTCCAATAACTACATCAGCAATGCTGGCTCTACCGACAAGTACCTGGCCGACAACGGCGACGTCGCGGCCGGCCACACTATGGACAACGCTGATGGTCTACACCGTCTCCTCAACAACAGACAGATCCAGCTCGTTGCCATTGGTGGCTCCATTGGTACTGCCCTCTTCGTGAGTATCGGTGGTGGTCTCGCCCAGGGTGGTCCCCTCGGCTTGTTCCTCGCCTATACAATCTACTCTGGTATCCTCGCATGTGTGAACAATGGTGTCGCCGAGATGAGCACGTACATGCCCGTTTCTGGTGGCTTTATCCGTCTCGCCGGTCATTGGGCCGATGACGCTCTTGGTTTTATGGCTGGTTGGAACTTCTTCCTCTACGAAGGTCTTCTGATTCCATTCGAAATCACCGCCATCAACCTTGTCCTCTCATACTGGAGCTCTGATATCACGAACCCTGGCCCTACAGCTGGCATCTGTATTGGTGTCATCATATTATACGCGTAAGTACAAGGTCCTTGAGATGATTTCGCTTTCCCTCCACTGTTTCGCATGTTGATGCCATACTTTTCTGCTTGATTCCTTCGGCTCAGCTGGTCGTGAACATAAAACTATTTGCTCGTCTCTGCTCCCTGAATAAAGTTCACATGCTAACGGCGTTTGCGTATTTTAGTCTTTTGAACATCTTGGCTGTCAAGGCCTACGGTGAAGCTGAATTTTGGCTTTCGGGCGGCAAGGTTATCCTGATTCTTATGCTCTTCAGTTTCACTTTCGTCACAATGGTTGGCGGCAACCCTCAAGGTGATGCCTATGGATTCCGCTACTGGAAGGACCCAGGTGCTTTCTCGGATGTCAATGGTAACACTCCTCTTGGTCGCTTCGAGGGCTTCCTCGGTGCCCTCTGGAGCGCCAGCTTTACTGTTGTCGGTCCCGAATACATCTCGATGGTCGCTGCCGAGGCTAAGCGACCCAGTGTCTACATCAAGGCTGCCTTCAAGACGGTTTACTACCGATTCTGCTTCTTCTTCATCATGGGCTCCCTCGCTGTCGGTATCGTTGTCCCCTACAACTATCCTCAGCTCGTCAGGATTTTCGTTACGGGCGAGGAGGGAAGCGGCACCGCTGCTGCTTCGCCCTATGTCATGGCCATGGACATCTTGAAGGTCGACGTGCTTCCCCACATCGTGAACGCGCTCCTCCTTACATCTATTTTCTCGGCCGGTAACACCTATACCTACTGTGCCACTCGATCGTTGTATGGTCTTGCTCTTGAGGGTCGCGCTCCCCGATTCCTGCGAAAGACAACCGCTTCCGGTGTTCCCATCTGGTGCTTCTGCGTCGTCATGCTGTTCCCCATGCTCTCGTTCCTCCAGTGCAGCAGTGGCTCAGCTGAGGTTCTCAACTGGCTCATTGCCCTGATGACAGCCGGCGGTCTTATCAACTACCTTGTCATGGGACTCACCTTCCTCAACTACTACCGCGCCTGCAAGGCTCAGGGAGTTGACCGAAGCAAGATGCCGTACTACGGCCGCTTCCAGCCCTGGTGCGCCATCATTGGTCTGGTCTTCCAGTTCTGCGTCGTCATGTGCTACGGTTACAAGTCATTCAAGCCCTGGGATGTTGAGAGCTTCTTCAAGAACTACACCATGCAAATCGTCGCCCCTTGTCTTTTCATCTTCTGGAAGCTATACAAGAAGACTCGCTGGCTCCGTCCCCATGAGGTCGACCTTACCTGGGAGCGTCCTATCATTGACGCCTACGAGAACTCCATCACAACACCCCCTACTGGCTTCTGGCAGGAGATGGGAATGCTCGTTGGCATCAAGCGCAAGGTGCATTCGGATGAGTAGAGGATGTCACTGTTTACTTTATGCGAAATGAATAAGAGACGACTGCCGGTGCAATCTACGAGTTCATAGAACATGAGATTTTTCTGTACATATTACGTAGTTTGCTGAAAATATACCCAAGGCATAGCTATGCTTTCTTTTGGATTCATTCGTTGTCCCAATCTTATGCCAGAGTGACCCAAAAAGATGAAGAATCCCAATCTGCGACGTGACTTGTGGTTACGAGCACCATCCCTATCTTGGTAAGTTTGGCTACGGAAAATAGGAGCCAGGAACTTTAATTTGCTCCGAATCGCGAGAGCAAGTCTAGCCTAGAGTTACCTTGCTCCAGAATTCATTGATATCTCGCCTATCTCTCTAGTCTCCAGAGTGTCTGAATGACCGGACCTCAACACTGGTGACGTAAAGTTCAAATAGCTTAATGATGCTGCGCCGCCGTGATATGTTCGATCTCGCGCATCAAGGTTGGCAGTCTCTACAGGGAACGGCCAATAGATTTCAACTGCCGATCACGAGATCGGCAATACAAAGCAGCCCAAATGCGTCTCCCCTGTCTGCTCATTGAATGTTTCGTAAAGTTGCTAGGTCTCTTTAAGGATTCCTTAGCTCGTGGCTCAGAAGGCGGGGGAGCGGCCCATGTAGATCGCGCAGGATGCCGATGCACAAAGGGGGCAAAGGTGACGGGGAAGGGGAAGGGGGAGTGGGAGTGGGAGTGGGAGTGAGGTTTGACCAAACTCGGAGAGTTTCTAGAAGGGGGCGTGAGAGAAGCTCAGGGTTGGAGTAGTTTGGTATGGGTGATGGGTGGGTGGTGATAAGCAGGGATGGGCATGATAAGGTTTTTGGGGTTGATAAGTTAAGCAGGTGTCAGTGGCATAGATTCTTAAGTACTGATAGTAACGAACAAGGCACGGAGTATGAAGCCGTGAAACCGTGTTGCCATTAAGGTCATCAAGACAGTGTAGACGGAGTTGGATATCTGTTTTGGTGTTTTGCAAGGTCATTTAGGGGTTCTTGGTATGTAGGGATCGGTTTCTTTAAGCTATCTCCATTTGTCCGCGGAAGC